ACAGGTAGGTTCTTACATCCATTTACAGACAATTCATAGATAAAATCTGACTGCAGAGCTGCCTTGAACTCGTTTTGAATTCACTGCATTTTACAAATCACACTAAAAATCTTACACTGTTGTTCATTCATTGTCTAATCTAATCTTCCAACCAGATGATCCTCCCACACCGACCCTGACTCAGTCTCCTCTTGAGGTGAAGGAGGGATCCTCAGTGAATCTGACCTGCTCTGCTCCGGCTCCCTGTTGGGCTCAACCTCCAACTCTGACATGGACCCCCAGTCTGGGTGACGCTCGAGAGGAACTGCAGGAGAATCAGGACAAAACTAAAGTCAAGAAGTCTGTCCTGACCTTCCCTGCTTCTCATCTCCATCATGGAAAGAGATTCTCCTGTACAGTGGTCTACAAGAAACAAGATGGCAGCACGGATGCATCTGTGAGCAGGAGTCTAACAGCTGCTGTTTCCTGTGAGTCAGTTTGTCCACTTCTAGAACTAGAAAATGGCATGAACCACATCCACTGACTTAGTTTTCTTGCCATTTCTCAATAAGGGCCAAAACAGTTAGTGAATGACTTTATTATTCTATTGAATAAAGAATAGTTGTCAGCAACTCTGATAATCCATTGATCATGATTTTGCTTTTCATTCAGTGTTTAATGTTCTTAACAAAAATGAGGAAATGTTAAACTTTACAACAGTTTAATCTCGTGTTTTTGGCAGTTGGACAGTTGATTGGACCATTACAGCCCAGCAAGGAGGGAAGGCTCACACAACACTCGCAAACACTACCTACATGTTCTAATAATGTTTTAAAGAAAACCTTTTAGTCTAATGATCAATAAAATTTTTAAGGATGTTTATTATTTCAAGTAATGTTCCGATGAGGTTAAAAGTGAACCAAGACGGAGCATTTTAACATTCAGAGGACGTTTGGAAGGGGTTGTCAGATTGTGTTACATCACAACAAACGAAGAACCAACATTCAGCATGTTTGCAGGGTGTTCTTGAGTCCTCAGATAACAGAATGTTTTTACATAAGTGGTCCTGTGATGTAACATATTAACAAAGGTTCAACATGTTGACTGTAATATTCAGAGGATGTTTTGGAAATGCTGTTCTTTGAAATGTTCCCACAATGTTACATGATAACAAAGGAAGGACGTTCTTACTGCAGCATACAGAACATGTATGGAACATTACTGTTAAAATGAGCATTCTGGGAACCAAACTTAAACTCCCTGCAGAAAACATTACAAGAGTTCTGTTGAATATGTCGCCTTAGCTGCTGTTAAGATGCAACAATTAGTTTTTCTTGCACTTTAGATTAATCATTTAAATAATCTGCAGATTAATTACTATAATAAATAATAGTCAGAAGTGAGGTTACATTTCAGAGACGACTACATCTGCAAATGAGGAACTCACAAAAATGCAACAACATGTGCGAGAATGAGATATAGATGTTATCAGAAATGACTGATCACTTTTCATTTTGTTCCCTCTGTGGATATGTTACTCAGTAATGATGCTGCATAGATGAAATGACTGATTGTACAACTGTGAGGAATCCATCATGTTAAAAACAGATCATCAAAGATAGTCACTAAATGAATTTTCTGTTAATATTTGATCAAGTTTATTGATCACGTCAGCAAATTCCACTTTCAGTCTTCATTAGTTTTTCGTGTTTGCTCTTTAGCATATAGATATATCAGTACAGTGTATAATCGTTAGCTACAGATGTAGTTTAAACATGTGACCTGTCTCTTGCTTGAAAAAAAAATAAAAAGTACTGTATCAGAACAGGGGCTGCAAGGTGGCGCAGTTAGTAGCACTGTTGCCTCGCAGCAAGAAGGTTGCCGGTTCGCGTCCCGGTGGGGGCACCGGAATCTTTCTGCGTGGAGT